ACAGTTCTTGTCCCAGGAAGGCCCTCAGGGCCAGATTTTGACCTGAGGCTTAGTTCACTACAGTCCCCCCTTTGGAACTCATCGCCTGTCCATGGGGATGAATTCCAACATGAACTTACGCCTTCGAATGTCCTTGAGCTTGATGTAATCCAACAAGGAAAAACAAAAGTCAAAGGAGGTAATCCCACAATGTTTTTGGTAATTCCATAATGTTGTTGGTAATTCCATTGTAGCAATGCTGTACCCCTTGGAAACAAAGTCTGTAATCCATTAGAAAAAGTCATATAATCCACAACGATAAATCCACCACGAATGGAGGTGTTGATTGATCAGCATACAGAGGGGTTCCCTTGATTGAACTGAAGATGCGGCCACTGGATGAAGATTGGAGACCAACGTCAGGATTGCAGGTCTCCTCCAGCGAAGGTCGTCGCTGGGTGATGTCCAGTCGGTGCCGTTCTGGTTCAATGTGTCATGCAATTATGTGGTTTAAGGTTGGCTTATGAAGGGGATTTTACATAAGGCCTTAACCTATATGCACCTGGTGTGTAAGCTATTATGATTGGGAACAGCTACAGCTACCAGTTAAGGGGTGGAACATGCTGAAAAGGGTAGTTATAGGGGCTTATACCTATAGAAGGGCATTCCAAACTATTTTTCCATTCCTAACTTGGTTTAAGTTAGCTTTACATGGCAAAATATAGTTTGGTTCGATTGTCTGTTGTCCTTTTAGACAAACGACTTGAGATTGGGTGTTTGTTTTCCCCATAAATGTTTTTGGAGTCTATGGCGAGACTCATCAAAAAGAATTAGCTATCCCCCCGAATAGAATTGTTCGAGTAGGTTCGGCTTAAGCGTTGTGAGACCAATGTAGATTATGGTACTTAAGGTAGCATTAATCTACATTGACTCCGCAAAGATTAGGTTTTAACGAGTGAACTGCATGTTGGCATAGTTAAAGTCCTTTACAGTCTCCAACTAAAATACATACAAAACTCATTCTTGCTTGGGGTGTTCAGAAACAATACCAAAAACCAATTAAACGATGTCTCAACATCGACAAAAACAGTGACTAAGCAACCAGTAAAACAACGTTTCAACATTGACAAAAGTAGTGACTAAGCAACTAGAAAACGACGTTTCGGTGCGCCACTCACTCTGAATGTCAGATTTGATCACGTTATCGCGTCTGGTAACATTACCCTAACTGGCGTCACCCCCCTTCGGTCATGGGAGACCGCGAACACGGGTGAGGACGTCGCTCCATGAGCTAAAGTTAGGTTGTCCTTGAGTAGTTTTAACTGTTTGCGCAGCTGAAAGAGGACTTGAAGGTCTGGATTGGAATCCAGTTCGCCTTTCGATGGAGTGTATTTGTCTGGGTCAGTCAGATACAGTATCATCGAGTTAATTGCAGGATCCAACTTCTGAAGTTGGATGATGTCTGGGTCAGTTGAAAATGACTTTTCATATTTTAAAAGAACTTGGCGAAGTTTGTCTCCTTCTTCATCAGATGTCAGAGCGTCGGCTTGGGCGACCACCTGTTCAATCTGTGATGAGACTGATAAGGGTTCTTACTCTTTGGGGAGCTCCAACGAATCCCTTTCTGAGTCGTCGGACCTGTCTATGGGTAAGACACCATAGGTTTGAGGTCCTTGGTCGACGTCATCGGTTGAAACAGCTATGGCCTGTGTTGGTTTTGTGAACCATACTGGCCCAGTTTCTTGACTCGGTACCAGGTTATCTGGGGGTCCTCCCAGAAATGGAATGCCTAGTTCAAAATCATGAAAATCAGTGGAAATCAACCATCCTAGCATAGTGTTTTTTGGGATCATCACCTCATCTGTGCCTGTGTTACACACAGCAACAGATGTGGTCCTGGAGTCAAGGCTCACTTGGTTCGTGGCTTCCACGGACAGTCCCAAGTTGAAAAACGCAGGAGAAGGTTGAAAATATGCCTGTGGCTAATAGCTTGTCCAGCTATGATGTGGATTTGCACCATTAGGTTAATCACCTGAGGTGGTACTGTGGTGGTTTGGTTGCTAGCAACCTGGCAGGCCTCTGGAATGGTCTGCCCAGCCTTAAGGTTTGCTGTGTCTAGCACAGGAGGATCCTTTGTGGCTGGTTTTAGGGACCACAGCACCTTGTTGATGGTGTCCACATGGACACCCAACCTTACCAAAATGTCAGAGCCTATGTAGGTTGCATGTGGTAAGTTTTGGATCACGAGAAACGGGTGAACCAGTTCTCGTTGGTTCCAGTTTAGTTTTAGGTTAATGACTCCTTCCACGGTCATTACCTGTGAACTATTGGGAACTAATGGAAAGCGGAAAGCTTTTTTAATTAGCTCTAGACCCACGTGTTTGTGTACCAAGGTTTCATAGAAAGCTCGGTTAATTGCTGATTTATCTGTCCACAGAGACAGAGCAGCATCGTTGGTGTGGGACCCTTGGATCTCTACACCTTTAACTACCAGTGGTAGGTAGTGTTCGGTGGACTCTGACTGCTCCAGCTCACAGAGGAGGCTGTCTTGTTGGGTCAGAGTTTGGACCACCGGGTGGGTCTCTTTGGTTTCACATGATTTCAAAGGAATACTCACCGGGCTCGTGTCCTCGGCTGAGGAGTCCTTTGCTCCTTCCGCGGTACCTGCCGTTAGGCAGTCTGTGTTACACTCCGGAGGCATCTGTATTGGCAGTGGTTTGCTCACCTTGGCCCACATCGTCTGATCACCATAATCTATAATCGCGTCGAAGCGATTTATAAAATCCTGGCCAACCAAAAATGGGAATGAGTTAACACTGGACACGTGTACCGGGTAGTATAGTGTCATTCTGCCAACCTGCATGTGAACCATTGCTATAGCTGTCAGGGTTGTCCTCTTCTCTGAGAGACCCTGCATTCCTATAGCCCATTCTGTGAGAGGTATTATCCTGTTAACACCGGCAGCGGCTGTCCTCAGCTCCTCGAACAGTTTAGCTGACATAATTGTTATGTCTGCCCCACCGTCCAGAAGTGCTTCATGTGTGAGGACTCCTTCGAGTGTTACTGACAGGTACGCCTTCTTGGCGACCCCCCTTCTGAAAAAGTTACACAGAAACCTCTTAGGTTTTTTCTGACGTTTCTTCACATGTTCAGCCTTGTCTGTGTAATCTTGGTTTGTCTGAACCGTCAGCACAGCAGTAGCTGTTTCTGAGTGTTCAGCTTGCGATGACTCATCATCGTTTGTGTGTGAGTTTATCCCCCCTTCTTCCGATGAGGGGTTGTTGGAGGCAACAACAACAATGTCTTGGTGTGTTCCACCGACATCTGTGATGTTGTCATTCGCGCCCTCAGATGTAATAGTGATTACATCACTGCATAGTGCTCCAGGTTGGTTTCCCGTGTCAGTGTGTTTCAAAGTTTCTAACAACCTGCGTAGTTTCTCTGTCTCTTCCGAGCTCAGAGGTGTAGGGCCTTGTTTCTGGAACCTTTGTGATTTTTTCGCCTCGGTTCGTTTCGTCCGAGGTGGGGGACGGTTAGGTACGTCTTTTGGGGGTTCCTTTTCGGACTTCCCCTGATAATATGGGTCACCTTGGTTCCCATATCTTTGCATCCTACGCACACCCCATTTACGATAATCACGTTCATCCTCTGAAAGAGGAGCTTTTTTGTCCCAGCATGCACCTTCATGACGCGGTTTGTTAGTTTGAAAAGACTGCTTTTTCTCGCCTTTCTTAGGAGGAGGAGGCGATGCATGCCGTCCTTCCAGTTCTAGCGAGTGGGGTTTAACCTTTACACCAGGAAACACCTCTATGGGCGTCTTAGCATGAGAACATGCCTCAAACACATTCACAGCACACTGTTTAATCTCATTGATAGATTTTTCTCTGAAATTTGCCATAATTTGTACTGACGTCTTAATGTCAGTGTGGAGATTTTTGCTGAAAACAAATTTAAAACCTTCTTCTTCCTCCATTCCGGTTTCATTTCTGTAACCAAAATAAGCTTGGAAGATTCTTTTGTAATAAACCTTTGGATGTTCATGCTTCCCTTGCGTGACCTTGTCAGCAGCCGGGAAACCAGCAGGTCCCGTGCAGGGGTCGTATTCCCTGATCAAAGCTTCACACAGAAGGTTGTAATCCCTTCTCGTGGCATCAGGTTGACGCTCGATGAAGGTGAACACCTCTCTGTCCGAAGTGAGCCTTATCAGACTGATTTTATCCTCA